GACAGAAGTGACTGAACTAGGATATCTGTAGCCAGAGGTGCACCTACTAGGGAAGACTGCATATATTAAGAAATCCACAATATTCAGCAATGCTCTAGAAACTACTTGGTTACTCTCACTTGTCATCAGCCTTGGTAACTTTATGTGGAAAATAAAGTCTAGCAGTCTCTAAAAACATACAATAATGTCATGAAAAGAATGCATTGTTATGAAGACATTTATGGTGCAATTTTACTACTGCAATACATCTAATTCTATCAGCATTAGCTTTGTGGGTTTTCTACAAGATGGTACACGCAAAATGAGTCTGTGACCAAAGATGAGAAAAGGGGAATTTATATTTCATAAAATCCATTCTGTTCCAGAAGCACCCATACTAAATTAGAAACCTGTGGTATCAGCAGGAAAGTAAACTGTAAGAATTTTTAACAGTTACATTGACTTTTGTTTGTGGTTTTAGTAAAGTCTGGCAGAAGTGAAAGAGGTGACAAATGAAATTTACAAAATAATTTTAGTCTCTGCTCCTCATATCTCATGATTTTTTCCTCCAAAGGTGATAAAAACCAATATTTCTCTCATGTGCACTAGGGAACTCTTGGTGAGGATCTCATAATCCATGAACAGAATCAGAAGGAACAGCACATTCTCCTCACTGAAGAGACAGAACATTTAGAAAATAAGCCTTTGCAACACAGACTGAGGGAGAAAAAAATTGAACTAAATCAAATAACAATCTATACTATACTCAATAAAACAATTAGAATCACTAAAGCTTTTTAAAACAAAATTGGCTTAGAGCAAGGCATGACATTTCTTTAGAGAAGAGTAGAATACACACTAGTCAACTTGAGACCCAAGTAAATTCTGGCATGAAGTCCCCAAACTGAATTATACCAACACCACAGAGAAGGACAATAGTTGCACAGTCATCTGCTTGAAGTGTAGCAGAATTTTTCCAGACCATCCCCTTCCCTCTGCAAGCCCAATAATGCAGCACAGTTAACCCTGCACAGACAGCACTCATTATGAACAAAACACCTGCCGGTGAGAGCCCTTTACCTACTGAAAGACAAGGATGTCCAGTGGCCTAAGTTTTATATATAAACAGGAAACTTGCAATAACTTGGACAAGACAACACTGACATATGATATAACACAAGCCTGTTTAGAACAGAGTAAATGAGAAGCTCCACTCAGAATTTCAACCTAGAAAAGACTTTGCAGGACCTCCTGTATTTCCAATGCAGGTTGTGTAGCCTTCAGAACAGAATTCATACTCTACACCTTCAGGTGTAGAAAAATCAGAAATCTAGAAATCTAACTTTTGCTAATTGCTGATTTATTTCTAGTACCCCATCTAGAAGTTTTTTTCTTTAATAGCAAGTCAACTTGTCTTTCTGTTTTACTATGAAAACCACATAATTATTATAAGTTAGTAACAGATTCCACTGTACATAATTTGTTTTTCCATTCTATCATCTTCTCCTACCAGGAGGTTTATTTCATTTTAATAAACGTGGGGGGGGGGAGCAAATATGAGGTCATGCACAGAAATTCACCTGATTTGTATACAAAGAAATTTCAAGGAGTTAATTGCTGCCCAAAGTCAATTAAAAACAAATTCACAATGTATGAGGAATATATATCCATAATATAGCTCATTCTGTCAAAAACAGTAACAGAACAGATTAATACTGGAACAAGAATGTGCTTTCAAAGTTTTTCACAGAATAACCATCCTCTTTAAATTCTGTATTTCCCTCTTCAATTTTAAGAGGTGCTGAAATACACAAAGCCACACCTAAGATGGGCTGGAAAACTATATTCATCAAAAATATTGACCAAAACAAAGCAGATCCATTTGAATATTTCTAAGAATAGAATTTCCAAAGACAATAAAATGACACCACTAGGTTTTTGATGCATGCTAGAAGCATGCATCCCTAAGCACTTTGTTATGCTGCTGGACAGAGAAAATTTTGCACGTAGTTCTCAGCTCCAAGACCCAACACTGCTGAACTAAACAAGGTATTTGCTTGAGCAATCAGGACTACAGAAGCTTAAATTTCTTCAATAATCAGCAGGTCAATTACTGTGCACTTTAGATTTTTGACCTTCTGAGTCTTTCACATATAAAGCATGACCATCTCTTAAAGACAAGAAACATCAAGACAGCACTTCCCTCCATATACTACAGCAAGTTTGAAGGGCATAACTAAGAGCAACATGTTTTCTCAAGAAATTAAAATTACGCCAGCTAACATCCCTTTTTAAAAAATAAACCCTTCACATTTGACGGGGGTTATGCTATTAAAAAATATGTAAAACAACCTTCCAACAAAGATTTGCCCAGCCCTGCCTGCACTTTGGTCTAAAGACATCTCACTTGTCACTTTAGTGATCAAAAAATCCCCCAAATACGGTATGTCTCCTCTTTTCAAAGTACAAGAAGCAGGGCAGCTGATTTCTGCTCACACCCCTGAGGTAGTGCAGTTATGAGTCACCAAAAATAACGAAACCCAAGAGGAGGGGATACCTTGGGCTTAACCCCATTAGTAACAACAGATCACAGCATGATTCCAGTTGAACCTGCACACACAAGTAAACCCGCCCTGAAAGCTATAGGGAGACAAACTACTGGAAAAACCATAGCTAAGAATTGCTTCTTCATATAAAAGTTACATATTTTCTGTGCACACACAGAAAAATAAGCACACTATTGCTAACCAATACTTCACATTCTGATCAGTGTTATTTCAGTGGTATTAACTGACAAAATTAAGTGGTCACAGCTAACAACTGAACAGAGGCAAAACTCAGTGACAGGTGAAGGAGTATTGCTTTGAAGGGACACCTCATATCCCGAAAAGCTACATTAAAAAGTCAGCTTAACAGTCTTTACCAAAAAAAACCTACCAAACTATTGGTTGTTTCATGATACCTATCAACTGATAAAATAACGTGGGACACGAGCTTGACCTTTAGCCTCCCACACTGCAGGCAGGTGTGCTAAAACCATTGAGGAATCTTCTCAGAGAGGTCAGGGATGTTGTTTCACTTGCAGAAAAAGTGAGAACACACTTTGAAAAGTTTCCAGAGCCAGAAACTCTCCTTTATCTATTTAGGAAATGAAGATCCAGGAAAATGCAGTCCAAAGGTCAATTCTCCAGAACTCTTAAACCTAAAATCAAGGATTCTCCAAATCAAGCTGAATTTTTTGCTCTTCTCTTGTTCAAAATGGAGCAGAACAGGAATCCCAGGAATAAAGAAGCTTTTACATTTTTAATTATTCTGTTGAATCTCTTTCCACTGCTGCCATAAAATACACCTCCAGTACACCACTCAAAAGACCACACTAGAAACAAGGTAAAATTTAACACGCTCATGAACAATTTCCCCTCGCACAAGTGTCCTAAATCATAAACTATTCACCAGAATTTCCTTTTGAACCTCATGTCCTTATGCCTGAGCACTGAGTTTTGTCCAGGACAATAGTCAAGTGGACTCCAAGTAACTTGAATCACTTCCTCATACTTGAAGCATCCATGAAACCTCTGATATGCACTTTATTTTTGCCACTACTTCAATTCCCCTGCACTGAGACTTTCATGCAAACAATTTAGAGCATGACATTGTACAAAAGCATTCAAAAAATAAACATTCACCAGAACCCAAGAAGATAACACTGAAAAACATTAAACAGACACAGCCCACAAATATTTAGTGACCATTAAAATTTGCATGTAGCGAAGAATGCTACTGACAAAATAACTGAAATGCAAACAGCATTTAAAAAACCCAGTATGACTTTTGCCTCAACTCTTCTTGTTACTGAGCTTTATACTATTACACACTCACTTCCTGGTTTGTCAGAAACCACATTGTTTCAAAGTCAAAGCTGCTCACTTAGAGGAAGGAGGAGCGACGACAGGTATTTTTAGTGATGCATTAAGACCTCTGATAATAGCAGAGTATCTTTGTAAACTTAAAGGCAGTTTTTCTCCTAATGACTGGTCTCCTGCATCAAAGAAACATTATTAACTAGCCTAACTGCTTTAGGCAAACTGCAACTTGAAGCAACTGGCCTAAGAAATTCAACATATATATATTATGGCTGTGGCTTCAGCAGGAAAAGTTGTATCCTCAATTTTTAGCGAGATCTGTTATGAAGCATTAAACACATCCACATGGAATTCAAAAAATAGCAGCTGACTCCCTAATTCATTAATAAAAAAAGGACACTGAAACCACATTCTACTCTTCTCAACAAGCAGACTATGTAATGACTTTGAATGAACTGCTCCCTGAAACCCTCATCCCCTGTACATGGAAGTTCTGCCTACTTCCAAAGCAAATGAAAAGCAAAGAGAGGTGTAAATATCTTCATGGGAAAACTTATTTTTACTTAGAACAACAATATGTATGTTTTGATGACAGTTTGAGTTACTAAATTAACATTTAACTTTCTTGTTGAGCATATCTGTTAAATGTTTAAACATAACAATACGCTTCCCAGCTCTAAATAAAGCAACAATTTCTCTGAGGCTAACTAGGGAAGATGCTGTGTAGAGCTATTTCAAGTTTAAGTACGCATGTTTAGAAGCTCACATCCTTTTTTTTTTTCAGCTTTTGTGATAAGTAAAAACAACCTAGTTGAAATCCAGTATGGTGAAGGTGTAAACATGTAAAAAATTACTAACAAAAATATAACATCAAAAAACTGTGGGATTCTTTTGCATGTTCGTGCTGTTCTTTTCCCTCATTCCAGCAATCAACTTACCAGATTAAACACAGTGTCGACTATGTCTCTGTTGGACACTTCACCAACTTCCACCAATCCTGTCAGCACAGCAAATTTCATCTTGATACCTCGGATGGGGACTCCTGGATTCAAAGGCTGCAGCACACTTCCCCCTTCAGCAGCATTTCTTTCTTTTCCCGCTCCTCCTCCTCCTCCATCATCACCTGTTGGCTGAACAACTTGTTTGTCCTCACTCGCCATGGCTAGTTCACCGCAGGTTAGGGCTTCCAGCGCCAGCTCCACGCTCGCCGCTTCGGGAAGAAGGAGAGACCTGTGCAGCCGGGAAGGTGAGCGGCGGCCCACTCCTTCCTTCCCTTCAGCTCCGGCTGCCGGGGAAAGCGGCGTCCGGCGGGGGAGGGTGTCAGGCAGGGAGGATCCCTCGGAATCCCGGCTCTCTCCTCAGCAGGAGGCGTCTGTCACAGCGCTCTGCCCCCAGGCAGGTATTTAGAGCCCTGAAGGACAACGCGAGGGGTGTTTCAGTCCGCGGAGCGCTGGGCGCTGCCCCACAGCCCGCGGGTCCCGGCCCCTGCCCCGCTCCCCGCGGGGCCGCCCCGGGAGCGCTCACGCCTCTCCCCACGGAAGTGCTCCGGGACCCGCCGCGCTCCGAGCCCGGGCGCGAGGGGTTTAATCTCTCTTTTTTAGTATTACAATTATTATTATCTTTTTCTTACAGGGAATCCGCTCCTCCTGCCCGCCGCGCCCCTCCCCCCGGCTCCTGCCCCGGCCCCGCCGCAGGTGCAGCGCCCCAGCCAAGTTCGCACTCACCGCGGGCTGCGGAGGGGGCGCGGGCTGCCCCGACGCGCCGTTCGGGGGCCGGGAGGAGGCTGCGCTGCCGCGCTGCCCGCTGCGCTGGGCTGGGCTGCGCCGGCCGCCCCTCCGCCCGCCGACAGGCGCCCGAAGTTCCAGCCGCCGCCGCTGCTACCGCTGCTGCTGCCGCCGCCTCACACCGCGGTGCCGACCAGCCCCATCTCCTTCCTGCCGGCGCTGCCGCTCGCTGCCGCCATGACAGCGCGGAGCCCCCGGAGCGCCTGCGCGGGCCGGGCGCGGGCGGGGCCGGCGCGCGGGGCGGGAGCGGCGGGCTGCGCGAGCGCAGGTGGGACAGGTGAGCGCAGGTGCCACAGGTGAGGGGGGGCGGCGGGAGGGAAGCGCTCAGGCCTTCCCTGCCCTGCGCCTCGGGCAGCGCCCCGGCGGGCAGGCTGCTCACCTGCGGGGATGCGGCGCCTCCGTGCACCCGGCCGGTGCCCCAGACTTTACTTCACTGTTCAGAGAATCACAGAATCGTTAGGGTTGGAAGGGACCCCTGCAGATCATCCAGTCCAACCCCACCGCCCAGGCAGGCTCACCTGGAGCAGGTGACGCCGGGAACGCGTCCAGGTGGGTTTGGAATGTCTCCGGAGAGGGAGACTCCACAACCTCCCCGGGCAGCCTGTTTCAGTGCTCTGCCACCCTCAAAGCAAAGTTCTTCCTCGTGTTGAGTTGGAACTTCTTGTGTTTTACTTTATGGCCATTGCTCCTCGTCCTGTCGCTGGGCATCACTGAAAAGGGTCTGGCACCATCCTCTTGGCACCCGCCTTTGAGATATTTATATGTATTAATGAGATCCCCTCTCAGTCTTCTCTGCTTTAGACTAAAGAAGACCCAGCTCCCACTGCCCCTCCTCGTAAGAGATGCTCCAGACCACTCATCACCTCTGTGGCCTCCGCTGGACCCTCTCCAGTAGCTCCTCGTCTGTCTTGTTCTGAGGAGCCCAGAACTGGATGCAGCACTCCAGATGTGGCCTCACTAGGGCAGAGTTCTATAACTGCTTGGAGTCTGCCGCTCCTGAAGCAATTTCTTTTTTTTTTTTAGAGAGGGGTGGTTTTCGAGTGGGGTACTTTTCGTTCTTTTTTTTTTTTTTTTTTAAATAAACCGTACGCGAACAGCGGGTCGCCAGCTGCGTCCGCGGCTCCAACCCCGAGGAAAACCGCGGCGCGACAAGGAGCGCCTGTGCTGGGGTGGGGGGAGAGGAGCTTTTCCAGCTCCTGCCGCCGCAGCGATCCCGGGGAGGCGGGTGAGCTGCTTCCCCACCCAAACCTCCAGCATGGGCGGGCTGGCGGGAGTCCTTCTTCCTCCTCCGGGCGCTGCTCCCTGGGGAGCGCAGGGGGCGCGAATATGGGTCAAGCGAGACGCCGCCCAGAGACGTGACGAGCTGAGGTAGAAGGGGTGCAGCAGGAGGGAAGGAAAACTCGCCCTCTTCCCTCAGGTTAAAAGCTTGCGAGAGCTGCGCCGGTTGTTTCGGTTTCCCAGAGCCGGTGTCACGCCCGCTCCCACCGAAGGGGCGGCGGTGCCAAAAGCCGAGGCCCCGACGCCCCCGCCGAGCCGCGGGGTGGGCGGTGTAACCTCCGCCTACAACTGCGGGTCCTGCTCCTGCCTGTTGTAAAGCACGAGAAGTGGTGCCCTTTCTGCGCTTCATCCCAGGGTGACCTGAGCTATAAATCCCATCCTATCTCAGACGCAAGGAGCCTTTTGTTTGACCTTTCAAAGAATTTATTTGATATTAACCCGAGTATCTGTTAATAAAGAAGGAGGAGGGTCTGCTCTTCAGAACTCTTCATTCAAGCAGTCTTCAGCTCTGCATTTTTAAGGAGACTGCTTGTGTTAATAGGGATTAGACACGCTTCTAAAGACTGGGGGGTCTTGTACCAGCTGTTTAACACACAGGCAAGTGTTTGAGTTTTATTAACACAGTATCACAGTCAACATGGCAGCAGCAGAGATTTCCAAAGGAAGGATCATCTTAGGGATGTGAGTATAACTTGCAGATACACAAACAGATATCAAAAACAAATATAAATATGCGTACATTTTAAAGCTTCACATCTTCATGACAAGCATGCTAAATATGATTGTAATATTTAATATTAACTATTATACTAACTGGATTTATTATTACATAAAATTTTAACTTGCCTGTGGCCTGATTTGGGAATGCCGTACTTTGGGTGTGTTGGTATCAAATTTCCCATGGTTTTTGGCCAAAAAAATCAAAGACACTCCACAACACTTTCTGTTTCAGTGCTTGTTCCATTCCCTTCCTACATAATTTTCTCACATTGTTACTTTTATCTATAGAGTGTGTGTCAAGACTAGAATATTTCATAGCTGCTCTCCTGTTTGAATTTCCAAGTCCTAAAAGAAGACTAAGCTCCTTTTTTTCCTTTCTTTCCTCATTTTCCTTAGTTACATACATACATAAGTTATGTAAGTTACATACATACATACATACATACATATACATTATTAGGGAGAGATGCTGATATCTAATTTGAGCTGCAAACATCTGCAGTTTCTTCCTCAGAATTAGAAATGTTTAGAACTGTAATGCTGACACATTCAGCCTCTACAAAGCTACAGTGAGCTTGTGTGGTAATACACATGCTGTGTAATCTTGACATTTTAATCTTAAGAGTTTGCTGCTGCCAGCATTTCTTAGGCATGTTTTGGATTCCTCACATCTACTGCTTGAGCTTCCTTGTCTTTCTGAGTCACCTGTAGTTTCCTACAGTATTGTCTTCCCTCTTGTAAGGAAAATATAAGTACACATTTCACACATCAGTTTTACCTGCCTGCTTTTAAGTATTCCCTGGTTGGCCTTTATCTTTAAGCTTTTCATCAGGCTATCTGCCACTAGGCAAAAGCAGAAATGAAATAAAGTTTGGAATTCTTTACGTACCTAGTGACTGGGAGTATGAGTTCTATTTGTGGCCCCTCCTGTTATCCAAATAGAATGTAACATTTGTTCTTAATATTTTTTTGCTTTCTTCTTTGTTTTAACATCACACTGGAAAGAAAATAAGTAAAATAAAATTAATTGCAAAAATCCAGCTTAATCGATTTCAGATGTTTTCATCTAAACTGCATACTCCAATTGCCAGCAAATCCAGTTTGCCAGTACAGACAGCATTGTCATGCTGAATCCTGTCAGATCTTCCTGTATTTCCTTACAGATAAATAAATACTTCTTGACTGATCTTGGTTGTTAAAGGCAGTGGGGTATGTGCATTAGTCAAGGCAGGTAAAGTTCAGCAGACTGCCAGTTTAGGGTTACAAAGACAATTGTTTTAATTTGATTTTTCATCCAGGTAAAAACAATGTTAAATTCTCCAGGTGATCTGTTCTCCATTTGGGCTGGTTTTATGTTCAAGCAACCATGCCAACCCCCCCCCCCCGCCAGATCTGGAGAAACAGAATACATTAGATATAAGTTATTTAAACTACAGCTGAGAATTGAGAATGAACCCTGTCTTAATCCTTTGTCCTGAGCTTCCATAGCGTGGGTTACAAGTCTAATGCTGGTTCTGTCTCCCACAAAAAAGTGGAAATGCTGAGATAAGGGAATAAAAAAATGTTTTCTCTAAACCTTAAAACCCAAAAGCATGAATTAAAAATGGACTTAAACCCCCAGATTGGGAATGAACCCCAAAACATTCCATTTTATGGAAAGTACTAGTAAAGTCTCTAAAGTCTATTTTACGAAAAATATACTTTCTGTTTAAATAACGTTTTAGATATTACCATGGGTGCTGGCTTAGAAGCTTTATTCAAACCTTCTGAACCCTCTGTTCAGCACTGATCAGACCCCACTGGGGATGCTGTGTCCCATTCTGGGCTCCCCAGTACAAGGAACATGTGGACATACTGGAGCAGGTCCTGTGGCAGGCCACAGACATGGTGAAGAGACTCAAGCATGTGATGTAGGAGGAGAGGCTGAGAGACCTGAAGGGAGAGAAGTCTTGGGGGTAATCTTTTCAATGTGCATTAATAGCTAGTGTGGGAGTGAACTACAACAGGCAGAGGAACAGACCCACTGCCAGCTTCATTGCATCTGCTGTAAGAGCAATTTTTGGCAGCTGGAGCCACTACCCTTTTAAATTGCTGCAGATAAATCTGAACAGTGCTCAGGGATCAGAGCTTTTATGTAGAAGCACCCATTTAGTTCATATAGGGTAAGAAAGCAAGTGTCCACAATAACTCATAACTTTCTTCTGCTTACATGGTCCAACTAAATTAATGTGTTCAGTTTTGTTGGGCTTTGTGGGGGCTTCATGACACCAAGCAATTTCAGAAAAAGTTTTGAATTAAGTACATTTTGGCAATTAAATACTCTTCGTTTAAGCAAAATGAGGGAAAAGAAATAGTATATAATGTTATAGCTTTTTATGACAAAATGCTTCTTTATCTTGATCTCAAACATTGGATGACAAGAAATGGCATCAAATTGTGCCAGGTTTAGATTGGATATTAGGACGAAAGGGTTGTCAAGCATTGGGACAGACTGCCCAGGGGAGTGGTTGAGTCACTATCCCTGGAGGTATTTAAAACACATGTAGATGTGGCACTGGGGGGCATGGTTTAGTGGTGGACTGGGGAATGCTGGATTAAGGGTTGGACTCTATGATCTCAGAGGGTTTTTTCCAACCTAAATGATTCTAATATTCTGTCATTAATAGCTTCTTTAAAAATCCTTGACTAGAAATAAAAACTCAAATTAAAAAGCTGTTTTTAAATACTGTTGACCTTAAATATGAGGTCCTCTCAGTAGTTACTTCAAGAGAGCAACGTCATCCCAAAAAAAAGATTAGCCTTGAGGAAGTCTTCTTTTGATTAAGTATGAAGGCTTTTGCAGTGTGTGTAAGATGGTATTGTTTTATTTTTTAAATACTTCAGTGCATTTTTATAATGTAGAATTTTACTTTTTTATAATGTATTTTTTAAAATGCATATGGTGATTTTTCCTCATTTTTGTTTAGAAGTGTAATCAGTTTATCTCTTCATTTGTCAGCATCACGTTTTCAGCATTGGCGAATTGCTGCTATCAATGTTTTTAGAAGCACAGAATTAATAAATGAATGCCTAATGAGTCCCAGCTAGGTGGCACTGGAAAATGCATTTCCATTCTCTAAGGAAATTATGCAGGTACTGAGCTGAAGAAGCTGCTTTAGCTCATCTCTTTAGGGTCTTCAAAATGTCAGTGTAATTCCTTGCACTATCCAAGCTATAGCAGGAAATATCTCATGAACTTGTACCACAGCAAATTCTGAATAAATTTATGAAACACCTCATTGTGTACTACTTTTAATGAGCACTCCTTACTTTTCCTTTTGAGTGTGCACCCTGATTTGTTACCCTCTTTTCCACTCTCTCATTTGTACTAAAACATATAATTGTAATTGTGAAAGTCCTCTTAAGAATCCAGTTTCTGGCAGCACTGTAAGACACATTTGCTCTGTTTTCTGCTTTGGCAGTAAACCCCACGTTGTTTTTGGGCAAAACAAAGGTGCATGGCATTAGCAAACAGAAGACACTACAAATCATGTTTCTTCACTGAAAGCCAAGTTTAAATGCCATATTCATCAGATCAGACATCTGTAAACTTGCAGAGTGTGCTGGAGGGAGGTGTCTTTGCACCTGTGCTTACCTTGCTATGCTGGACCCAAAGGATTCTGTGAGCCTGTGGAAGCAGCTGCTCCCAGCCTGGCTGCAGCTGTGCCCGTCCCTCATTACACACAGCTTGCACCACAGTTGTTTCCCATGTACTATTCAAACTCTCCAGCCAAGCCTGGTCCAAAAGACGCATAAGATCCAGAAATAGCTCCATATTAGAGTTTTGAGAGGGATTATGAGAGGTTTTCTGCATAAAACTCTAGTATGATCTCAGAGGATGTTTTGAAATCCCCAACA